TTTCCTTTATTACCAAACACAAAAATGACTTTCAGACTTCACAGGCTGATGGAATGGCATTTGCCTGAGTCACCAAACAGCCTGAAACAATAGAGCTGAAACTTAAAAGAGCAACATTCTTAACTACAAAGCATTGATTACAGCACTCAGGAATGAAATTGGCAGAAAGAAACTGCTGTCTATATATGGGGAACAAACAATAAACACCATATTTCCTATTTAAGTATTGCCTTACTATGACAACACATAATAATAGTGTTTTCATCTATGCTTGAAGAGTGCCACAGCAACACAGGGACACAAGTCCCCATGTGGTGTCTGAAGTTTGCAATCAGTCCATTACAAGTCAGTTATATTGCCATAATTTTATGTGGCTGCACACTATGCTACAGCAGATTGCTTTGATTGTTGCAGAAAAACTGAGCTTGTTACAACTGTGGCAATTCACTTGCCTGTAAAACTCTGCTCATTCTACAGTATTCTGGATTCCAAAATGCTTTGCTTTGTTCTCCACACTGTCTTGGCCTTTATTTTTACTACACCTATTCTCAAACCCCTTTTAAGCCCTATCTTTTTATTAGCTCTACTTTTCCCCATCCCCACATATGAAATTTCAGATTGCACCGAGGCTAAGTAATCTGCACAAAAACTAAAGAGAGAAAGTAAAAAAGAAAACTAATAAATTACCTCACTAGTATTGTAGAGGAGGGATATTTTGTTAGCCTGCTCTGAGAATAGAAATCTACTGCCCAACAATGCTAACATCTTTTAAAGTACCTGAATGGGAAGACTTTGCATTAAAAAGTTCTAGAAGGATTGGCCAACAATATTATTGCTGTCTGGAATATTAACTCTGATTTCAGTGAAGCTAAGGAAGTTTCAAAAAACCAGGATGAAAAAGAAAACTGATTGTGAGTCCATAGTTTAAAACATTAAATGATCTGTCAGCCTGACATCTACTTTGGGTTCTATAACAAAACAGCTAACACAAACCTTGATTAAAGCAGGTTTAAAAGTCTGTAATACAATAATACACATCAACTGTAATTCATTAAAAAACCTCATCAAATTAACTTGATGTCTTTTTAGGTGACATTGTAAGTTTAGTTTATAAAAATAATAGTTTTGATGAAACAGACTTCTATGAGACATTTGATTTCATTAAAACATGCAACAGATTAACTGAATTAATATATTTTAAATGACACATCTCAGTATGTAATAGCAAAAGGGTAATGAACTGGACTGAACTAAACCAAAATGTTTCTAGAGGAATGCCATACATCTTACTTCTTTACACTAGGCAATTTTTGTAATGATGACATGGAAAAAACAGAAATCATGATTCAGATGTCATGCTGGCATGTGGGAAATAATGCAAACAGCAGGTTGATAGTGTAAGGAATCTAAATTACTCACTAGCTTCATCATAAAAAATACAAAGACATAAGTTTAGAACCAAGAACATATATATATGTATAGGCATATATACAAGATAGAAACACTAGCAGCTATGAAGAGGACTTGGAAATGATGGAGAAGAATCAGTCCAGTTTGAGCTTCCAGTGGAAACTACATCTAATCAAGATGATGAACTTTATAAAAAGCCAGGGAAACTCTGAGAGAGTAAGGAAGTTAAATTACCTCTGTGTTACCTGAGTCTGGTAACCACTCTTCAAGTGGGATGAGACAGAATGATAGCGAAACATCAAAGTGAATAAAGCATTGAAAAATATGCCCTCTAGTGAGGAATAAGAGGAATTTAGATACTCTTTGTGAAGCTAAATAGGCTAAAGGGGTTAAAGGACTGCAATGGGCAAATACCTAAAGAAAAAGAGAACAGTATTACAAAAGGTAATGGCATAACATACAGAAGCTCATGACGGAAGCTATATCTGCCCCAAACCAGACTACAAATGAGGGGCCATCGTTAACAACAAAAGTAGGTATTATCTATGGAACCTACTAAAGTTCCATGAATTTGCTATCATTAGTAATGTTAATCAAGATTTAATTATTATTTTTAAGACATACTCTTGTTCAAGCAAGCTAATTCAGAATAATGTTACAGAAGGTTAATTTAAATGATGAATAAATCATTAGTCACTTCATCACTCAGAGCATGCTGCACTTTAATGTCACTAAAATTATGTGTAGATGTGCACTGCATTCTCAAATACCAGTGTTCTTTCAATGCTGGCAAGTTTTGAAAGAAAAAGTATTTTTGAATCCTAAATTTTGGTTATTGTGCTTTAAGGAAAAAGACCTTCATTGTTGATAAATTAATTAATTGCAGCTTACGGATATAACCTATATCTGACTCCATACACCAGACTGACAAATTGCATGACCTTATGAGACATGTCAAAACCCTTGTGTGGCCAAAAACCCACAAGAGCTAGACTGCCACTAAGCCATTCATGTATCATATGCTTGGCATGAGAAAGACGCTTACAGAATAAAAGCCATGACTGGACCATTCCTTTTTCATATACATATAGATTAACAGTATTTTTGAGTGATTGCCAACACAGAACACAATAACTGTGCCATGACCTCTTGTATAAATATGGAAATCTGAACTTCTGAAAAGCCAGAAAGGTCTTCTGAGCACTCAGCTAAGAGTAGGTGGCAATTAAATTTATATTATATGTAGAACACAAAATGGTAATGTTCAAACTAAACTGATTATCCTTTCTAATATAAAGCAGCAGTATGTGCCGCACCAGTGACAATATGATACAAATCTCTCTCTTCCAGACAATAAGACACCCTGAAGCAGCAGTGTGTCATAGAATCATAGAATCATAGAATGCTTTGGGTTGGAAGGGACCTTGAGAGATCATCGAGCCCAACCCCCCTGCAGTAAGCAGGGATTGAACCTGTGAACTTGGCGTTATTAGCACCATGTTCTAACTGAGTGTCCATGGAGGAAAAGCTATAAAAAGCCCTACTTTGGCAAGCATGACTCTCTAGAAGTGACATTAGACTTGGGAATCCAAAATTCTATTACCCTACCATCCTAAAAAAGGAAGGCAGCAACGACCTGCAATAGGTATGAGCAAATCTCTTTGTAAACTGGGAATTTGGGCAATTGCCCAAAGGGAAGGGTTGCCATGAAAGAGCACAAGGACTACTTGGAGTAGTTTGTCCAGTAGGTAAAACATATATCCCTGACCGCAACAGAGAAGTGGGTTTTGCACAGGATAGATTGGTTGCAGTAAGGAACATAAAGCTCAGATGGTTTTCATTTATTGCTACTGGAACATACATTGTGAACCCTGCAGTCCTCTGAAATAATCACCAATGACATATATATATATATATATATGTCAAATTTTACCAATCAAATATTTCAAAACTAATAAATTCATCATTTGACTTAGTGACTTTTGACCTAATACGTGGCTTTCTATTTTATCAGAA